ATGCTGTTAATAATTTTCTTTTGATCCTAATAACAATTTCTTTTTGAACCCCATGCCCCAAAACAATGTCAGAAAAGTGGCCGAGGATATGCCAGAGAACAAAAAAAACACATTCAAAACAATGTTTCAATACATGCTAGAAGATTTGTCAGACTGAAATGTCATGGTACGGGTCACTCGAAGTAAAGTAATTGTTTTCCTTGTAGGTGAGTCCATATGAGTCCCCTTCTTAGGATTTGAGCACCCAGTTCCGTAAGCAAGTCCAAGTTGACCCTGTAGGAATACGATCCTGCAAAGAAAGTTGAAAGTTGTTAATTCTCTTTTTCATGTCCCCTTGGCGCGACGTGGTGCGCACCGTTGCCATTGACGTCCAAAGGCTTGGGTCTGCGTGGGCTTGGGAGGCCTAAGGGCTGGAGCGGGTGAACCCCACTTGAGGTGTTGGGCATCGTGGGCACTGGACCTTTCTACCTCTCTGGATGTTCTCTTGTGGGCATTGTTTTGGGCATCTTCTCCACTTTGGTCGGACTCTTGTTTTGGAAGATCAATCACCCAATGCGTGCAAAAAGGCCAGGCCATCGAACTTGGTTTGCCAATTTTGGGGGGAGCCCTTGAAGACGTCCTGAAGTGAACCTGAGCTTTTCCCTGAAAGAGATGGTGCCCAAGACGCGAGACTGTGGTTGCCGCAAGACGTCACCCTCTGTGCCAGAGTCCAAACCACCGCCAACCCTCTTTCCACATGAGTTTCGGCTGCGCGCAGAACCGGACTTCTTTGATGAGAAATGGACCTCCATCAGAACCCAACATGTTGTTAAGTTTACTAAGGGCCCTGCTTTCAATGTGGAAGGGACTCATGATGAATCACAGGAACACCGATTCAAGCTGCTACTCACATAGGGTGTGTCTAAACCTTCTGACCCCCACCCTACCGTAGGTGCCTCACCAAGTCTCATTTATTGCCCTTTCCACCGGAGACCCCTCCCCCCACGTGCGTCCGGTGCGTCTGAGTGGCAACTCCAGTGGAGGCACCTGCGTCGGCAACACGCGCAGCGCGAGCGCTGCGGAGCCGAGACGGTGGAGATGAGAAGCGGCCAAGTCTTGCTGGTCAAAGGTCACCAAGGCAGTGAGGACCAGATTTGCCCCTGAATCATCCAACATCTTCGAATGTCTGCCGTCAGGTTTAGTTGTCAGCTTCATCCAAACCAGAAACAATATACAACATCATGCAAATGTGTTGCGCAGCTGGAAGATGGAGACTGGGGTCCTCAGGTCCAAACTCAGGGGTCCTCCTCGTCTACCTGCCAGGACCTGTGAGTTTAGGGTCGCATGGTCGTAGGGGAGCACAACGTCTAAAGAACGAATGGACGAAGGAGAGGGTCAGCGCCCCTAAGCAGGTAGGCCGATGGCTGGGACTCTGATTGCTAGCAACTGTCGCAAAGGAGAGGGAATGTGCAAGGACAGGTTCATTGGTCATTGGTCCCTTGCGCCTTCACAATCACGAATGAATCAAAAAAGGTGGGATGAAACGATGAAGAATCTTCTTAGAAAGCGTTGGAAAGGCCAGCTTGGGGATGCTTCTAGATCTCAGATTGGGGCACCTCATCAGGTTCAGTTTGGTCCAAAAAAGCGCAGAACATCGATGGAACAGGGGTTTCTCATGCGCATGGGACCCTGTTTGCGATGACCCAAATATGTCCTTTCATGTCCTTTCTTCCAGCAAGTCTGAACGCCTTTGCAGGTCTCCCCAGCCAATTGGATATAAAGAGCGACCCAAAAAATTGACTTGGGGGTTGTGGTAGACCTTGGGATTCTGCTGCTTCTGGGTCCTTTTCGGGTCTGTCGCTGACAGTCCAAAACCCGCAGGTGCGGGCGGCGCAGCGGGCCTTGCTGCCAGATCCTGCCCGGGGACAGCTGGACTCCAGCAAGGCAAGAGGTGGTTTTTTGAATGCTGTTGAATGGTCATAGAGTCTGCATGAGTCTAACTATCCGGACTTCGTTGAGCAATGCTTCTGTATGAGGAAATCCACTAAATTGAGATCCTTGACCTGTAGTTGTATGTATGTTGTAACCCCAATCAGTGTCATCACCTGCATAAAAATAAGGCTGAGATGTGATGCCCACATGTTTATTGCAACAAACAGGGCTGGTCAATTTGAACGGTCATTCATATTCAGACTCACGTCGTTTCAGGCACAAACTCCCAAAATGAACGGTTGACAACTACATCCTACCAGTGTGCAGTTCAACCCGTATAAAGTCTTAACACCGCATTGGGGCGGGTCAATGTAATTGTAGACTCTTGATTAATAAACCACCCATCCTTCAGATGTGTTTCAATCCCAAGGGGGACAAATGATTCAAGACTCCACTCTCGGAGCTATATACCCTGCACTCTAAGCTATTACCTAGGCATGTCACTTGGACACGGCCCTCGTCCCCGATTCTCCTCTCGCGCTTTGGACGAGCTCCGGAGCCGTGGCAGGGCGGAAGACGTGGGAGACCTGCCACCAGGGGAGACCCTCGTGGCCGGTCAGCCGGAACGGGCCGGAACCCTTGAAACAGTACCAAGGGAGGTGGGTTTAAGTGACCCTGATAGGTAGGGTGTCGTCACCTGGGGTACCGAACTGGGATAGTCGAACTAGCTAGTGTGAGAAGAAAACCTCTGTTGGTGAGGGACCCTTTCAACATGCCGGAACCATGAGATGGTGAACTCTGAGAACCAAACATTGGACCCGAACGAACTGGAGGGTGACCGGACCCTGCAGAACGCAGGGGTTTGGACCCGAACCAAACCTTCACCGAACTGAGAGTCCTTGATTCTTAGGGCAAAAAACATAAAGAACCACGAACGCTTCCTGGATCTTCCTGGTTGGAGGATCATTGGACCACCGAACTCGCCAAGATATTGAACTACTTATCATGAACTATATATTTGGATTTATTTGGAGGGTCGTGGTACATGAAAAAGGTACATTCTACACCACAGAAATCTGTTCTTGGCCACCAACTTGGAGGTCAACCATGTTCTGTTCCATGTTCATCATCTTATCAGTGCGTCAGCGATATGTTTTAAGATCTTTTAAACGGCTAGTTTCTGGCAAATCTTGCTATTGCACTCACATGCAAGCCACAACTGCACTTCTTTGTCTCTGTCAGTTTTCCAAGAGCTTCAATGCAGCAAACCTTTGGTGCCTGCGGTGCAGGTGCTCCACCACAACGAGTGTCGGCCGCTCCACAGTGGAAGAGCGCTCCTCGTTTGGAGCTGTGGCTTTTGGAGCTCGCCTCCTTCTTGGGCGCCAGAAGCGGCGAAAAAGCCGATCTGAGTGGGAAGCAAAGGCTCATGCACACCTTGACGGTCGCTGCCATCTCGAGACTGTGCGGCATGCGCAGCATCTAAGCTTTTCCACGTGCGCGACCGTCGCGGGCGGTCAGCATGGGCTGTCAGAGCCATGCCCGCAACTCAACGAATCAAAGTACAAAACCAATCCGTCACCGGGTCACGAAAACCACTCTCCCAGTCGAAGATAGAAGATAACATGAACCCGAACCGAAGACAACATGGTCTTCTTGCGGTCGTTCCCAGTCAGATGCACCACACCATCATCCTGTGCCACTATCTGCTCGCTATCTCAGCCGTTCGAGCCCTCAGAGCTGGTTTGAGATGTCTGTTTCTATAAGATTTATGATGGTTTAGTGGGACTGACTTGAATCAATCACCCTGATGACTCATGACCTGTTCAAAGAGTTTGAGTGAAGATGCTTCAACATGTGGGCGCGTCTTGGAAAGCCTGCAAGTTTCAAATTGAACAACAACACATACGTTTAAGAACAACAACAAAACACCACCTTTGAACGGTCTGCCGCCGTTTTCTCTTGGTTCGCTTTACAAAGGTGCACCGAAGCGACCGACCAAACCGACGGGCCTTACAGACCCCCGACTCCCTGCGCCAATCGAAGTGGAAGTGAACACCATCTGTTTGGTGCAAAAGGGTCCAAGAGGCCATCCGTATGGCGTTCCACTTGTCACTTCCGACCCTGTTCTGAGCCCTTGACCTTGCTGAGCTCTTTGGCCGTACTCTTTCCGCCACCTTAGTGGGACGTCTCTGCTCTGCAAAGGGCAAAAGAAGCATTGAACTGGGGACAAATGGCTGGACCTTCTCCCACTTCGCCAAACGCCTTATGGTGAAGGGTCGGGATTTCATGTGAAAAGCACTTGCTTGGTCGGCGCAGAAATAAATCACGTCCGTTTGAAGCTACTCTCCACCAATCAGTCTCTTTAGATCACCTCTATAGAAAGGTGGTGATGTGGCATGGCACCACCCAACTTGGGTCGTTGGAACCTCATCCCCCGAAAAAATGCCATGCCAATCCCACGTGGGCGCCTGATTTCACGGAGGTGTTCGTTTCGGCCAAAGATTGCAGCATCTAAACACGAGGACACCTCATCAGATTCCAGGGTCCCCCCAGAACTGGCGGCCTTCGGGATTCAGAACGGTTCCTAGTTTCGTCGACGAATCGCTTGGTCAGGGTGAATTGAATCGAAAAAATAGGCATTTCCCTTGCACCCTCAATGTGCTTAAGTTCATTACTCAAAAAACAAGAACACCACAAGACAGTATCTTGCTGTAGCGTTCTTGCTTCGAGTAGCAACAAATGATGGTGGAAGACCAAACAGCGCTGCACAATGAGAGCATGCCTAGTCAAAACTGGTTATTATGCAAGTCTAGCTGGCAAAATCACTGTGCTAGCAGCTGCTAGCAGGTAATGTTTACCCACAGAAAAAGGTGGTAAGAAACATCCATTACCGATTACCAGGGTAACTTAGCAGCGATCTATCATATATCATATTGTATAATAGTTATATCTATACCCAGGGCTTCCACCCACCATTGATTCAATGGCTCTTACCGAATAACATCGAATAACCATTGTTTTGCTAGGACGTTAAATGACAACACCAGGTCAACCGTTTTAAACGGTCTTGGACTCGCATGGTATAAGTCGCACCACTCAGCAAACCAAACTTTCCAACTCCAGAAAAATCGTCGACCCAAACCTGCCTGCAACATCCCCAACAACATCCAACACGCCCATCCCCATCCGCTCTCCCTCCGCTCTCCGACGCCCGTGGTCTCTTTTTGGTCCATCCAACGACGCTCGCCCTTGAGGCGGAGACCGAGAGGACGGAGGTGAGATGAAGGGCCGCGGCGAGGCAAAGCAGGAGGTTTCGCGAGGTGAACGGTTTCCGAAACCGTTTTGGCTGGTTTGGCTGTGGTTTTGGTTGAAGGGGTCACTGTTTCATCGTGTTTTCAATATGTATACGAACGAAGGACACTGCGTACGTCCTTAAAGCCACAAGCCTCGAAAGAGAACGCGCAAGCCGAACGTTGCGTCGCCGACGTCAGGACCAGTCGTAGTCATCGTCGATGCCTGGCCTGGCGAACAGCGTGTCCTCGGCCCCCGATGCTACAGAAGTCCTAAGCCTGTTCTTAATAGTTCATGAAAGTGCTGAAGTAACATGCAATTCTTGAGGAGTGTTGATCATGAAATACCCTTTCCGTGGTGCGTGGGTTAAGGACAACGGAAACAGAAGTTGATATCAGTGTAGCATCCATTCCTTGGAGCAACCCCGCTCTTGAAACTCACGGGCATATATTTAGTTGTGTTAATCAATAGCGGCAAGACATGTCTTGGACAAGTGTATTTATACCTGAAGACGACTACAGTCGACCCTGAAGTCTCGGTTCTTCGGAAAATCGAGACCTCAGGGTCCATGTGAGGGTCGGAGTGTCATGGACTGAACCCCCCGCTCCTGGCCCATATCCTCAGAAGAGGGTATTCGACCCCCCTGGCACCTGTCCACAAAATTACTTTAAAAAAGTATTACTCCAGTATCAAACGCTCAGTGCTGACCCTTTTCAGATGTAGAATACATAAAACGTTGTATAGGGATCCTTGACCTCCTGGTTTCATATACTGGCGAAGCGGAGATTCTCCATGAAGTTCCTACAGGTTTTCCTCTATAATATGTATCCCAAACACTCCATGTGTGGAATACATCCCTCTACTGATCCGTCCCACCGAGTGTCTGGGATGTCTTCGCTCCTTCTTGATAATGTCTCTTTCCACTGCAGCGAGTGGTGCAACCGACATCACCGGCTCCAACCGACCTTCGGCTCCAACATGCTCCAACCGACCACGTGCTGAAGCGGTCCGTGAACGGAACCATGACTCCATGTGCTTCATGGCCTTACAAAAAGTAAAACATGGACTCCGCGTGTCTGCGACAAACATGGGACAACACCAGCTGCCGAAGACGGCTGCCATACATCATGATACATCTCTTTCAAGCTGCTAGATGGACCTGAAACATGCAGAAAGCTAACTGAAGTTTGGCATTTCCTCTTCTAACTTGTCTCTTCCACGATCGATGGTCGTGGTATGTCACCCTGGAGGAGCCAACGGAGCTCGGATCCCACAACAGAAAAAGCGACTGGAACCGAACTTTGTATAAAGGATTATAAAGGAAACATATGGAAAAATAGGGGTCCCCAAATTGCATTTGGTGGACGTAGGGGGACCTTGGTTGCATGTATTTCAAGTGGCCAAAACGTCCACTTCCAAGGTGTTTCTTCCGTTTGATGGGAGGCAAAAAGCCCTTCCAACTTGGCGTCGTCTTCCCGTTCCCATCAAGTCGCACCTCACATCCTGGACCACAGGATAGGCTGACTGCCGTTCAGCGTCCAGCTTGAAAAGGAGGAGCTCTCCTTATGCCCGAAGCATGCGAAGCATGAGCATCAAGTTGTTAAAAGGGTGGCTGGGGATATGTTGGCATTTGACATTTTTTTGGTGAAGATGTGGCATCCAGCTCAACACAAGCACTGGAGAGGCTGAGCCGGGCTCCAAGTACCTTCTTAGAAGGTGTTTGGGGAGGGTGCCAGGAGGGTCCAGTCATACCGAACCTGAGGAGGTACAACTGGAGCCCCTACATATAAGTGTCGTCTCTTGATTAATATCCCTCCCTGTATAAAGAGCTTTAATACATGATCTTACAATTGGGGGGGGTGTTAATATATATATTCATTATACTGTTAATATTAATTAATACATAATAATCTATTTTTACACTTAAGATCAAATTAAGAGTCTACATGTCATGACATCATGTCTACGGGGTCAGAGCGATCTCTCACCGGAACGGAACCGGAGAACGTGGTCCTGTCGTCACACACACACGGTCCTCGCATGATAGACCCTAAGGGTCCAGGACCATCCAAATCGGATGTCCTTTGACCCGCCGTTCGACCATTCTCTGGAAGTACTTTCTCACCTCCAAGACCATCCGCAAAGGAGGTACCTATGGGAGAGTCAGTAAGCTATAAGAGCCCATAGCTGAAATCCTCCGTCCCACGCAGAAACAACTTGATTGTTACACGACGATGGCGGGTCCCTAAGCGAGTGGAAAATGGCAACCCCTAACCTCCATTAAGCACCCCTTTGTCAGTGCTGGTAGTAATAAATAATCGTTTAAGATACTGAATGGATGCCAAGTGGGGACGAGGGCAAAACATCCATACCATCCATTCGCTTCTGGTTGAGACTCGAGATGACTGGATCGATGCCAAGTTCAACTGTTCAAATGCGCCTCACCTCTACTGACTACTCATCACCTCGAGCGCAGGGGTTCGAGCCACCTGGGTTTGTGAACCAACCACCCAGCCGCATGGAAACATGCAGCATTAAGAGAGAAGACACCCAGATGTAGGTGCCCAAGGCGAACCCAAAACAACAAGTTTTAGGACCCCGGTTTGGGGTTGGTTATTGGATACCCCTAACCTCTAAGGAACTATCGTTAGACACCCCTAAACGGGGGGCCCTAACAACTATGTCGAAGTTTTGGTAGCTTTGAGGACCGAACCCACATTTTTTGAACGTTTTGGGTTGGATATGTCATGAGGAAAAGACATCCCTACAAACAGACGCAGCACCAAATCCATACTGACCCGGCATCGCATTCAACATCGGAAACTATAATAAGTCTTTTTGGGGAACCATGGCTACGCGGGCGCGAGTGCCACACGAATAGCAGGTACCCACCTGCCCAGTTCCTGCCTCTTGACATGGTAACTGAGGCGTTCTGTTCTTGATAATCCAATACAACAAGTATAAAACATGTTGATGCCTTGATGCCATCCCTGTTGAACTGATACTCCAAAGATCTAGGCGTATTTTCTAGCAGATCTATTGCGGCTTGGCATCTAACCCGCATGAAAACGTGGCATCAAAAGAGCTTCACACCAGACCAAACGAAAAAGCGCACGGTTCAGCACGGTCGAATCTCCCGCTGCGCACGACTCCAGTCCAAGCTCCCACCCTAACAGTAACAGGTCCATACTTGGGAAGAATAGAGGAGCCTGTGCCAGGTACCAATTTTCGCTCTTGGTTGTGCACTGGGAGGTATCCCCTCCATTCATCAACCAACCGAAAGTTAAAGGGCCGTGCTCTGTTCCGTCGGTTTCCGCCGTTGCTGCGCCGGGGGGAGCTGGGTGCCCACACGATGGGCGGCACTGGTGGTCACCATCTCGTTGCGCTCGGCGGTCTGCCACGGAGGTGCTTCCGGTGAAGACCCGGTTCCAGGAGGAATGAGACCGGCAAAGGCACAAACATGGACCCCTTTTCAAGCACCTTTTCATGGCCTGGATATAGTTGGTAAATAAGCCAGTTCCATGAAGTGTCTGGGAGATTCTGGGAGAGGAAGGGCGAAGGACATGAAAAAACTCAGAGAGATTATGACTTTGCACAAGATGACCATGCAGTGTTTTCTGATGTACGTCGTTCGCGGCATTTTCTTGCTTATTGGAGTGTGACACGGTTGTGAAACTGAGGCTTAGGTGTGCACAACCAACCCTCTGGATGTGGCACAAAAACACATTGTGCCAATGACTGGACGGACACGGCTGCGATAAAATGCGAAGCGCGGGAAGAATTGCCGTGCTTGACTAAAGACAGCTAACAGTTTGATGGAACAGCTAACAGTTTCAGTACCCAAACACTCCATGTATGCCATATATATATGCCTACATTGGGATGGTTTTGGGGGTGAATGTAGGCATATATGGCAGTCCCATGGAGTGTCTGGTGTACTTTTGGGCTTTCGGAAAGCCCGTGAGCTCGCTGTTGAAGGACTAAACTCTTTCAAAGCCTTGCCGGTCGTAGACACAGAAAAGTCCTCTCGTGTGAGTCCTCACGGCTAAACACCAACCAAAATCCAGGCTCCGAAACGATGACCAAACATCCCAAACACTCTGTAGAAGTGGCATACTGCATACTTGTATAACTATACATTTCAGTGGCTTCAGGCGTCTGTGTATGGAGAGTCTTGGTATTTCCTGTGGGCTTTTCTTTCACCGGCGGCTTCACGTCTCGTCTTCGCTCGCCTTGATTCGGTCGCCCGACTCAAACTGCAACGAGATGCCTGGACCGAAACTCAGCTCCCGACGACCGGCGTGGCCGGCGACCGGACAGGCATGGATTCACTGGCTAGTTATGCCTACATTCACTGGCTTCATGTAGCATGGCATGGGTGAATGTAGGCATACCTTGTAGGCATATATTCCAGTCCCATGACGAGTGTGTGGGTATATGTGGCCCATGGGTATATACTAATGACAAAAAAAACCACGTGTTGCATCCTGTTGCCACGACAACAGCACCGCCAAGTACGGTCAGCAGCCTGCAATGAATGAGGGGAACACATGGGGGGTTCATCCCCGACGAACACCATGGGTCCGGGTGGTGGCTCAAAGGAGCAACTCATTGGTCCGGGATGAGATGACTACCCTATATTCCTTACTAAGCACCGGTCAGATGAACAACACATTCTGTTATATAATTCAGAGTCTGCAACTCCTCCAGTCAAACTGGACTGGAGAAGAGTACCATTTCTGAGCTCGTGGAAGGGGACATGCACATGACAGCCATGCTGAAAATCAGTCCGCATAGGGATTCACATACCTTCTCAGAAGGTATACATTGGACATCATTATGGACTGTACCTCAGAGGGTGGCAGTAGATCCTTCGGGAGTTCTTTTTCTGCAGCAAGTCAGTGGGCTTCAAGAGCACTTCACACGGGTGCTCATATATACCTGGCACCTTCCTGTCTGGGTGTCCTGTTCGACCGGATTGCATCGATCTTAGTAGCTACTAGGCAGGTGACCTGAATTGACCTCAGCCGGTAGACGTCAACGTCCTGTGGACGGCCACCACCCGGACAAACGGCCTCACCACTCGGTCTCTGGGATCGTCGGACGGATCCCAAGCGCATGGTTAGAAGGGCATCCTGACCACCCAGACAACCCTGACCATCCTTGGGACTGGAGTCTAGTTGCATTGGGCTCCTGACCGAAAACGAAAATGACCCAAAACGTATCCAAATGTATCACTAGACCATACTTAATTAGACCACCGAGCCGGATGGTCTGGTAGAGCTGGATGCGACTCGCCGGAGATGCCCGAAAGTCAAGCGAACCGAACGAACTCCATGTGTCTGTCACCTGATCGTTTTTGAGTGTGGTGGAAACCACGGAAACAATCCTCCCCAATCCACTGAGTGGGTCAATTCACCGACAAATAAGCTATTTTGTGGCTGAGATGTCAATCATGTCATGCCTTAATGAGGACACCTGTCAGTCTGTTTAAGAGGACAGTATGAATTTATCACACAACTATAGCAATCATCATAATGATATCAATTCAAACACCTTCAAAGCCAAGTAAACATGTCTCCTAAAAATCTAGGAATCCCAAGATTTCGCGTTGAATGCATGCGTTGAATTCATGCGTTGACACTGCATTGAGCCCTTGGAGCCTGAAGCATTGAGCCGTTCTTGGACGTGATCCACCTGGCTGTCGGCACGTGCGAGATCCAAGACTGGTGACGGTGAACGGCGACTGCGGAGGGCTGGGGATTCCGAGTCCCAGCCATGGGTGTGTGGAAACCAATAGGGAGACCCACTGGGAGACCCCATGAGACCCCAATGAGTTCTAGAGGCTTTTCCTTTTCTTCCAGGGTCTCCCGACGCCTGGACCTGTGAACGACACACCCTCCGTGGCGACCCGGACCCGGACCGTCACCGCGGGAGGGAGGTCTTCGGTTCGGCGCGGACGACCGTCTGAACGCCTTGGCTGTTTGTTTCGGTCCACAGTTCAGTGGAAGGCCTGGTGGATGGGTTGGTGTCCTCTTTTGGAAACCAGGGGCGGAGGGTGGCAAGTCCACTCCGAGCGGTGACTTTTGTTGATCTAAATGCGATTTCCAGTCACTGCACCCAAACGGAGACACGCCACTCCTTCCGTTGCCGAGAGTTCCGTGCAGTTTGCAAGACAAGGGGTGGCCACATTGTTCCTGCTTGATCGGATAGATCTGTATTCTTCATGCTTCTTGTTCCATAGCAAACTCGGCAGGCCAAGGATTTAAGATAGGCCTAAGGAGGCGTGAGTTGTTTCCTGGGGGATGATTATACTCGTGGTACTACTCATGGTGGTCACTGATTGAACAAACAGAACACCGCGTCAGCATGTCCTTTAAACATGCCGGAACCATGAGAATGAGATGGTTAACTCTGATAACCAAACGGACAAACTTCGAGAAAACTTGAAGTGAGTATACATGAAGTGTCAGGGCATCGGGGAAACTTGAGATCAACCGGTACTTCGACAATGTACCACTGCACCAACCTCCTGGTTCTGGGGTGTACAAACCCATGGTGTGTGGGATGCAAGTCAGGATCTCCGGCAGTATGAAAGAAGCTCCCAGAACAACAAAACACCATAGTTCCGGAGTTCCCGAAGCTGTAGATGTTCCCGCCTACAGTCTTTTGCTTTGTGGAAACATTGGACTTGATTTTGTGGGACTTTGTAGATTAGATGTTTCTTATTCATGTTTCATCGTGAACCCAGTGAATTGAATGCGACCAAAGCCTCCCTCGAAAAGCTATTGATTCCAGGAGTCCTTCCAAGCCCTTGCTTCGACGGTCAATCTGTGCCTGCATGTTCAAGAACTTCATCCTCGAGACATACTGCGCAGATCGAACCACCTGCCGCTGAGCGTAGCAAATGAGCTGCACCATGTCTTGTCCTCGCAAAGTGCTGAAAATGGGATGGCCGGGATGGCAGCTCCGTGATTGGCTAGGGACTTAGGGATTCATCGTTCGTGATGGTGTTAGTTCCCCCATATAGTCGTCCATACTAATGTATGTCTGGGGATGGAGGCCATCGCTATTAGGTTGGAGGGATGGTGATCACCTTCAAAAAGCACGTGTCAAGACCTTTTGCAAAGAGCAACCGTCACGTGACTTGCTGGGCGTCTCGCAGCTCATCAGAGTCCATAGGGACTCATGTTACCCCGGCCTGGTAGTGGTGGATTATGACAAATGATGACTCTCAGCCATGTTTCTATATTTTTATTACACCTGGGAAAATTCACATGGAACCTGAAAACCACTGGGTTGTAGAGGGAAATCGTCTTCCAGTCTGGTCCATGCGCCCGGTGGAACCTCTGGGTCTCGGGTCCAGTCGTACCGAACCGGCGGAAGAGTGGATCCCCGCTCCAGCCGGGCCGGTCGTTCGACCCGGTCGTTCCGGTGCCGAAGGGAGGGTGCCCTTGGTCGGCACCCAAACCGCCCTGGATGGGACGAAGCAAAGCGGTGGCATCTGGTGGCCCTTCACGTGACTCTTGGACCGACGTAGGCACTTCTCAGGGCTTTTGGTGCCAGTGCCGAAGATCCAAGAAGAGGACAAGCACGTCCCACAAGTGGGGAAGAAGCTGTGAACATGCGAAAAGGCCGTGTTCAGCCTAATTACAAACATCTCCCTCCCATCTCATCGCCTACCTCCATCCTCCACCACTCGGGCATTTCATTCAGTTTTGGTGTTTGAGGATTTCATAGCTCATCATTGCTCATTTGCTTGGGTGTTGTGTCTGCGATCTCCCCCAGGTGGCTCGCCCGAGATATCTCCCCACGTGGCTCGCGCGATCTCCGCTGAGAGAGATCGGTCCTTTGGCTTGCCCTTTGATCTGCGAGCAAGGAAGGCGGTCAAACTGGGAATGGGGTCCAACTCAGCTGTGGATGCGAGAAATTCGCAGTGCTGATGACAGGAACTCGGTCTCAGTGGTTTCTAGGAGCTCGGCACTGTTTGGGGCTCATGGTCATCCTATTTCTTCACGTGATCCTACCAATCTTGCGTGACCAACTCAATCCAAATCCTTTTTTCAAAGCTTGGCTTGAAGACCCTGAGATCTAGGGGCCCATGGGGCCCCTGGGGCCCCGATCTAGGGGCCCCAAACTTGCTGTCCCTCCCTCATCAGGTCACATTTGACTCGATGAGTCAGGGACGTGGAACGTCAGAGACATTCACAGGCCAAATCCGGGAGTTTCCATGTTGGAATGGTTCGGTCTATCTTCCGCTAGACCCAGCTGTTGTCTAGTCTAGACTTTCTGGAAGTGCTGGCTGTCTGATGTCCTGGCTTTGACCGTTCTTTTCTTAATTAGTATATACTCAAAACTCTAATTGGAGATGAGGTAGTAACATGGACATTGAGTAACAAAAGAAACATGGGTCTCTACATAGCACAAAAGAGCGTCCAACTCTGCAGAATCAACATTGAAACCCAAACCGCGGAGCCCGCGTTGCGGGCAGGTCCCTGCCCGAAAGACCGACCGGTGTTGGAGTATACCGAAAGTCCCAGCGGTCCTGTCGTACGAAACGGGTGACCCTGTTGGATGGTGACATCTTGGAGGCCATGGCTTTCAACCCAAAAATGCTCCGTGGAGGCGATGCTTCAACACAGTTCTTGAGTTGCAGGCTTCACTCAGTTTGGCTGAAATCTGCTGCTTCTTTTAGACACGATCCAGGTTGATGCACCAGGAAGAGAACAGGTGGAACCGAAGCACGTGCACTGCGGTGAGTGGAGGAACCTGCCATCACCCGCAGCACCCGTCCCGTCCCTGCTGTATTTTTTGGAGGATGGCCTCCAACCTATGACCCGCGATGGCCTCCACCCTTGCATCCCTTGGAACACGTTCGCATTCTGTGCATTCTCCAGTGATTTGAGGATTCCACTTCTTTGGCATGGCGCGGCATGACCATATCCCCGTTCCGAACTGACTGAAGAAAACAGGATTTGATATGGATTCACATAGTGGAACCCTCTATCAGGTTTTACTTGTACATCTCATTTCTATCTTGCCATCATTTGCCATAAATAACTCTAAATCATGTTTTTCATATGTCTTCCAACACGCAGATCTCGATGCATGGACGCCCATGACATGTTGAGCTCCGCCGGTGTCGGAAAGCGCCTTTTGCAGTCCGGCGATGAACTCCTCCGGCGTGACCGTTCCGCCTCGGCGGTGGCTTCGACACCCGGTGGTGTGTCGGGTGGCGGTCTGGACTCCGGATTTGGAAGAATGTTGAAATTCCCCCTGATCCAGAATGGTTTTGCATCCTTCATGTGGGTGGTTAACATGCATCACCATTGTTTAATTGCATTTTGTATATTATAGTTATATATGCGCTGGGGAGTCCACGAAAGCCCTGGGGCTGCTGCTGGGGAGGAACATTCCCCAAGAGCTTCCCCAGAGGTTCCTGTAACTGGAAGATTGGCATGACCTTGAGGTTGCAACTGCCCGCCCCATGCTGTTCAGCCCCTGCGGCTACATGTTGCTTTGGAGCAACGACATGCAACGTCTACCAGGCGATTTGAAGGATGCATTGTGCCAAACACTATGAAATTTGGGGTGCCAATGGTGTCTAACTGGGATGTCTATTCACCAACCCTGAACAAGGGTCCAAGCATCACTCCTTGTGGTGTCCTGGGGTCTCCAGTCTTTAAGGAAGGGCGTCTTCTGCATCTTCGAAGTCCAAAAGGTCAAACAGAGTCTAAACAACAAAAACAACAAACCTGGGACAGAAAATTCATATCATCACCAGCGCACCCCATCCCAAACCACATACGAAACAAAACACCCTTGTTTAGCCCATGGGCCCATGACACCCTATGTTTCATCCTTTGGATTCGCAGCTGGGCATGAATCAGGACCTACATCCTCGTGACTATTATGACTATTAACCAGGACATATACATCCTCGTGACTGATCCATGATCTCCCAAGGGGCTGTGGTTCACATCCATGATCTCAAAGAGACTCTCCGCCTCTTCGATGGTGATGCCCAGCAAGCCTCTTCGATCGTCGACACGAGTAGAGTTGACGAGGTGGACGACCGACGAGTTCGGTGTCAATACGTCCGTCGAGCTGCTGAACTGTTCGTTTCGTTTTGGAGCGAACTTCGACCTGCTGATAATCACATCTCCGATCCGAAGGTCGTGGATGACATGATTTCAAAGCTGAACACTATTGAGATCACAAGTAAGAGGAGACACGGGTCACCGCCGACTCTTCATTGACTTGTGGATCTTCCAGGATCACATCTTGGTGCTGGTGCATGGCTGATGCAAATGTCGATGTTGTACACCTTCACTTGGCTGGTGCATGGCTGTACCCCTTCATCAGCTCTACCCCTTCACGTTCAACTGACAACGTTGCAACACTTCACCAGGCCAGTCCTTCCAACTCTTCCACAGTGAAGGCGCTGCTTGTGCCCGTCGAATCACTTCGCCGCAACCGCAGAGGTTCGCCGACCGACCGGACCGTTGAGAACGACGACCGGTGGGTCGTTTTGCTGGACGCACCTGGTGGGTGCGTCCTAGCATGAGCTCATGGGTGGCCAAGAAGACCACGAAATGCGCCAGGAGAAAAAGCAGTCAGGTCGTGAATGTGAGGATGAAGCTACAAAGTTCTTAGTAGTCTCACAAGGGATGGCCTATTCAGGAAGCAAACTAGACATGTTCTTGGCGGATAGATATTGAATGAACAACTTGCCAGGAATCCTTGCAACAGTCTCATTTGCGTCGATGCTCAGTATACACTGTGTGTGTGATCAGCGCATCATACACGCAAAACTGTAAAGGGTCCGAATCTCAACATCAACAACACTGGCGGAGGAGCAAAGCCGATGACGGGAGGTACGTGCACATCTTATATGCATCAGGGCCTAGGGCAAAGTTGAAACAACATCCAGCACCTCAGCTTTGGACAGAACTCAAGCCAAAGTGCCTGATATATTTTATTTGGAGGGTCCTACATCCATCAAAACATATCCAACTAGTTATCTTTTGATATGTTCTTTCTATTTATATCTATAAAGTGACGGACACATATATGCTTAGAACCCCCGATTTCTTCCTAATAATGAAATGATGAAACTTCCACACTAAGAAATGATGAAACTTCCACACTAAGAACCCTTTGGCCCTGTGAATACATAGAACCATCCAAGTATTGCACGCCAAGAATACTCTCAACCCCTAAAAACAAAACCAGGTTCATAAGTATGAGTCCGTCACTATATAATTGCATAATATATAAATATAATGCAGGAGCTCCCATTCCTTTCACGATCTTTGTGGTTCTAAGTGCCACACTAAGAACACCCTTCCATTGCAGAACTGCTCGGGGATCTAAGTATGCCTCTCCAACTGCTGGAGGTTCTAAGTATGGTACGCTTTGAACCCTTTAGCAAAGTTTTTTCATGTTTGTGTATGTTTTGCAAAAACGGTTCTAAGTATAAGTCCGTCACTGTATATTCATTCAGATAAAAATATCTGTGTTTGGGGGATTGTACATCCATCCTCAACATGCCAACACAAACCATCCAATGCAAGAACATGTTGAAAACCACCACCTTCATCTGAGCATCTAACACCCCTTCTGAAACTGGATCTATACCCCCCTTCCTGACAAAACAACAATACGCAGTATGTCCGTATGACGGCTGTCGCAGTCGCACTGAAATCCCCGCCTAGCTTCTTGACGAGGCCCGGAATCCTTCCGCCCACCGACGCGGTGTCGTTGTGTGTGAAATGAGTGTGAACTTCTTTCGAAGGTCTTTGGGACCGTCAGGAAAACAGGACAGAAGGTCTTGTGAACTTCATTGCGAACCAGGACCGTGTTTCGCAACTTCTCAACCTCCTTCCGTTGTGGGACCCCTTACCGGACCAGACCGGACCCATGCAGCCTTGACCCTGGCGACCGACGGTGCTCGGGTTCCCGCGTGACGACCTGCAGTGGGGCATAGAACACTCATCCCGGCAACACAAAACCTACACGGTGGACATGACACATGTGTTTGCATCTTTCGTCGACACTCCCTGTTGCCGTCCTGATGATCTTCTTGAACTCCTTCTGTGACAGGTCTCCACTACCATCCTTGTCATTCGCGTGCAAGTCGTCCACCATGGATTCCAGCATATACTCGGCCAGGCTGATGGGCAACGTGAACCCAAAACGGATACAGTACAACCTTCAAGTGTTGTAGGATGTGTCACACAAACGTGACAAGGGATCCCAGGCAAACTGTAAGGAAAACATGTCTTCCGCGCTACTCCCCGATGAATCACAAGGATGCCTCCTAACAATCCAAATACAACAGCTGTCTGCTGAGTGCAAAACCTTGTAAGCAAAAACAAAAGAGTTTCATGTGTTCAAATCAATCATTTTCCGCAAGTATATTCGACGTGAGGCGCGACTCGAGGTTAATCACGGGACAAAAAGGGACATTAACCACGATACCTGTTTGCTTAACCACGACAAGGCCGACCTCAACCACGACAACAGGGCAACTTTAACCACGACAAGAGCGACCTCAACCACGACGGCAAAACAGCGCCCAAAACCGGCAAAATTGTGTGTTTTCTAAGAACGGGAAAAACACAAATTAGAAGTGTAAACCAAATTGTTTTTTCCAGGCCCGGGAAAAAACAAAATTGGAAACCTCAACCAAATTGTTTTTTCAGGCCCGGGAAGGAGCAAATTGGAAGCCTGAACCAAATTGTTTTTTACCGGCCCGGGAGAAAGCAAAATTGGAAACCTGAATCAAATTGTTTTTTTCCAGGCCCGGATAAAAACACAATTGAAGCCTGAATGAAATTGCTTTTTCCAGGCCCGGGAAAAAGCAAATTGGAAGCCTGAACCAAATTGCTCTTTCCAGGCCCGGGGAAAAACAACTTGGAAGCCTGAACCAAATTGCTTTCTCTCGGGAAAGAGAAAATTGGAAGCCTGAGCCAAATTGTTTTTTCCAGGCGCGGGAAAAGGCAAATTGGAAGCCTGAACCAAATTGCCTTTTCTAGGCCCGGGAAATGCAAATTGGAGGCTTGGAGGCCTGAACCAAATTGCTTTGCTCAGGCCCGGCAAAAAGCAAATTGGAGGCCTGAACCAAATGGCTGTTTCCCGGGCCCTGGAAAAAGCAAACTGGTGTCCACTATTCGGCTTGAGACGCTTTTCGCTACCAAAGGGAGGGAGGGAGGGAGGCAGGGAGGGAGTGAGGGAGGGAGTGGACAGAGTGAGGGAGTGAGTGGAGTGAGTGAGGGAGTGAGTAGCCGGACATGTCGATGCAACACCCGTGCTTAACCATTACCGTAAGAACCCCTTGTGTGTCCACACTGTTTGGGGAAAAATCACCTCAGCTGTCAGGTATGCAGATTTCATGTTCTCACCCTACGCTCACAAGTTAATTTGGTCTGGTCAAATCACTCCCCAGCTCTGAGGCCAAAGGTCCTGCGTTCAACTCGTCCTGTGAAGCCTCACCCCAATTGCTCTTTCCAGGCCCGGGAAAAAGCACATTGGACGCCAGAACCAAATTGCTATTCCAAGCCTGCGAAAAAGCAAATTGGAAGCCTGAACCAAATTGCTTTTTCCAGGCCCGAGAAAAGGCAAATTCGAAGCCTGAGCCAAATTGCTTTCTCCACGCCCGGGAAAAATCAAATTGGATGCCTGAGCCAAGTTGCTTTTGCTAGGCCCGGCAAAAGCAAATTGGAAGCCTGAACGAAATTGCTTTTTCCAGGCCCGGGAAAAAGCAAATTGGAAGCCTAAACCAAATTGCTTTTTCCAGGCCTGGGAAAAGGCAAATTCGAAGCTTGTACCAAATTGCTTTCTCCAGGCCCGGGAAGAAGCAAATTGGAAGCCTGAACCAAATTGCTTTTTCCAGGCCCGGGAAAAAGCAAATTGCTGCTGGCTGCTGTCAGGGGTAGTGTCCGCAGGTGTCGTGGTTAGGGACTTGCAGCCGGGGTTGGTGACTTTACAGCGTGGTTATGGTACACTTAGTCGGGGTTAAGGATTGTAAAGCATGGTTAGGTACAGGTCTGTGAAGAGACCCCGCTTCACTTGGCTCAGATAACCTCCATAACGAACGTATACTGTTTGTCGCGAACCTATTATACCTTCTTCAGCTTCATTCTACACAAACCTTCGTTGTTCCAATCTTACTTTTCTTTTCCTCCTCCTTCTCCTTCCATCTGCTGGCTCTTTTGATCTCCCCAACAAATGCATTTGAGGTTCATTGAACTGCGTTCGAGGTCTATAGTGAAATCAATCAAGAAGCATGCTACCAGTACCGGTGTCGTTCAAATCGAAGGCTCTAAAAAAACACCCTGATCCCCCTTATGAAACCTGCCCAAGTCACTGCTTCCATCCGTACTCTTGCCTGGCAATCGCGTGGATGAGCCAAGTATAACGGAAGTTGCTTCAAAAAGAACCGGTAGGTTGCAGTGCCACCCAATGGAGAAATCCCTGCAAGCACGAGAAAGCCACACTTCTGGCTGAAAGAATGGCACCCAACTGATGGGCACATAGACTATCACATAGAGTAAACTTGCACACACGAGGAACCTGCCCTGACTCGCTCAGTGTCCCCAGAAAGTAAACCCTGACCGTGCTCCACCTGCTTCATTGGAGAAACCAATCTGCAAAAAATGATAAACACGTTGCTGATCACATCTGATCACTGACTCTGTTGGCCGCGACCTTGGCCGGGACCCGCCTGTTGGGCTACACACACTCCGCTCTGCTGCCCCAGATTATAAAAAACAACACAACAAAAACACACACCATACCCAAACACTCCATGTATGCCATATATATGCTTATAAGACCCCCAAAACCACCCCAATGTAGGCATATATGGCAGTCCCATGGGTCGTGTCTGGGATAATTAACACGTTTGGACATCCGTTTACACCAAAAAGAAGGCCACTCTAGAAACCCATGGGTTTGGAGAGAAAAACAGTAGCAATGCCATCCCATGCCAGTGGGGAAACCGAAACCGTGATGAACCGTTCAAAACGCGATGAACTATGGAGATCCCTTCAGGGTCTTTAAGTATTGGATGATAAAACAATCAAAGACCGTCAAGGGTGTGTTGATTTCCTTCAGGGTGTCCCAGGTGTCTTGTAAGATTCACTCGGAGAAGAACCAGCAACTGGTCACGCAGCTGGATTTGGTCACGCAGAAATCGACAGCAAGCATGACGCGACAAAACCCATCACCATCATCACCCTTTGGACGAGTCCAACCAAGTCAAACGACGTGAAACATGTTCTCTCCATTGAAAACACACACACATAATCCATTACAAACAAAACATATCAATTAAAACATAATCAAACATCAACAAACTGACCCAACCTCCCCAAGAAGTCAGCTGTTTTTCACCGCCCACCGTCCCGCCCTCCCGAGCCCTCGCCTGCTCCGCATGGGTCCGTCGGTCTGCGGTGATCACCGAGATCCGCTCGACCATGACCTGCGTGGCGAAAACACCCAGAGAGGACAGCCGGTACACCCGCCCCTATGTGCCCAGCGAGAAGGTACGAGGTGTGACATCGAGTGTTCAACCGAATTTGGACCTCACCAAAACAAGGGGCCCAAAGCCCTTCCAATAAGCCTCCAAAGTGGACAAAGCCGACCTTTTTTCCATACTTTTCCATCTTGTTTCACTCCTAGTTGTGGTCTCACCAGTGCCCTTCAAATCACCTGCCACGATCGCATCGGCCGAACTCGCCCACTCCATCCCAGCCCCAACATCCCCACGCCCAAAACCTACGAGTAGACACGGTGAGATCCCAGATGTGGGTGTATCTTTCATAGGGGATCCTCATCCAATGGGTTGGGCTATTGTGGATGGTTTTGGTCTATTAAGGCTTCTTCCACGGAGTCGAACTGGGAGGTCTCCCTATTTTGAACCATTTATAGCGTCCAGTTCTTGAACACCACTGCGAGGTTCGCAGATGGTCAATATCCATCCCCTGACATCAGCCGCGACCAACCGAACCGGATACTACGATCAAGCCCAGATCGCCTGGCAGCCTAGCATGGCGGAAGACTCTGTTGATGTCCAAATCAGCTGTGTCCAAAAATGAGGGGGCTCCAAATTCCAAACACATTCCCATTCAACTGCAGCTGTGTTCCAACACTCGCTAAAAATAACCATTTGCGGTTCCTCAGTCGTGATACCAGGCACCCTCCGAGTCGAATTCACCGGATTCTCTTAGCTTCCTGACAGTGAAAAACCGACCACTCCATCTGTTCGCTTGAGTGGAGAAGCCAATCCCCCAGTCAAGGCTTTAAGGTTATCCAGTGAGTGGGGGGACCAGTTGAAAAAAACTGTGGACATTAATTCTCACCGTTCTCAATTCAAAGCCCCCTTCCACGAAAACACCGGCCATCTGCTCACCGAACGGAAGGAATGTCCCTGCATTCGGAGCGGCATCCAAACATCAGACCGCGTTTCCGGACCTTCTTCCCTGATCCACGCAGGAAGACCCGGTCTTCACGCGGCATTCCTCGCCCGGTTCCTCGCCCGAAGCGGTGGGTCCGAGCCGCCGCTCCGGTCCGGGGAGCCCGACTGCCACCAAGATGTTCAGAGTGCCAAAACTCATGACCTACACGATGTCAGAGGAACAGGTTTGGGGCCGCTGGCGTGCGGTTCAAACGGATGGAAGGCTTCAGATACCCGGCGAACGAGGTACTGGAGGGTTTAAGAGGCGTCCTGAAAAACCTGTCTATAGAATGGGATGTCCAACCTTTGGATTCTATAAAACGCTAAACCACGCAAAACAATAAAAGCAAACATCAACACAAAATGTCTGGCAACTGGCCTGTGAAACGGCCAGATCAAACTGTATGGTGGATCAAAGTGGTTTGGTAATTTGTCTATGACATGACAAATCAACCGAACTCACAAATAAATAACCAGAAGAGGCTGGACAACATATTCCAACAATTCCAGCAAAACAGAAAATTCAAAGTGCAATGCAATGTTTGGAAAATTTTGGAAAAATTTTTTGGACGATCTGACTGTGTTAAGATTGGGTAAGGCCGACTGGTTTCCAGTTTCTCCAAAACGCACTGCATGATGTCGAGCTCGGAAAGTAGAAACACATACTCAGGATTACTCAGGCCTTGTAGGGCTGAATAAGCCCAAATGTTACCATCTTCTTGCCAGTCACGGCGGCAGGACGGAGCAGGTTGCAAGTCAGGGGGAGAAGAAAGAAGGAACATACACGAGGGAAAAAAGGAGGAACACAATGAGTACGCGTGTGGATGTGTCTGTGCGACCGCGTTAGTATTGTTGCGCGCATGTGTGTGTGCTTGTACATGCGGGTGTGTCCGTGCGTCTGTGTGTGTGTGCGTGCGCGTCTGTGTGCGCAACTGTTGCTGACGTGTCTCTGAGCGTCACGAAATCCGCACTTCAAGGTTCACAAAGTGCTGCGCCAGCAACGATATCTGACAGCCTCCATCCACCATATTCGCTGGCTGCTGCCTGCAGCCCCCGAAGCCTGCAGGGTTCTCATAGCTAACTCCTTTCAGATCACTGTCGCACAAGTCCACAAACGCAACTGCTCAAGCCGAACCAACCGAACGTAAGCTGAGTAATTGTTTAAAACAAATCTAGCCAATGACTATGACTATCTGACTGACCTGTGTGCCAAAGTCCATGGCAACATCCTGGCTTTCAATGAAGGTAGTTGATTTTGCGCAAGCAATGCACAAGCTACATTGCTGTGCGATGGGTGCCTCTGGCATCAGCGGCAAAGCAGTATTGCGAGAAGACGCCTAGGGATAAAAGCGTGCAGCGTCGACGGCGACTTCCAAAGGAGAAGCACGAGAAAGGACAAAGCAAACGCCAATGGTGTCGCAGCGTTGGAGACGAAGCACTCTTTGTGGCCAACCGCCCGGCGCCCAGAGATTGAAGCAGCACTGAGAGCGGGTCAGAGAACGAGGAAGTGAGTGGCGCGCCGTGTTCACGGTCATGCCAGGGATCACAAAGTCCACCCCAAACACAGACACGCGCACACACACAAGACTCAGCGGCACAGTGTCCAGCAAGCGCAAAGTCTAAAAGATTCGCTTGCTGGGGTTGCAACCTTTTCCCGTCCGCGGCGCTAATCTTCGTCAGAGAGCACCTGGCATTTCCGCTATAACGCCATTGTCTTGCAGTCTCCCATCAGCAGTCAGCCAGCCTCCGACTCTGAAGGCACTGTGGTGGACTAAGCAATCGTATTTCCCTTGGAGCCTCTCCTGGTGGTTCACCAGAAATTGCAAATCCCTGACGTCGTCTAGTTGTGAGGTGTCCGTGGACCGACGAAGACGGACTCACAACTGGTGACGCGAGAAGGGACGCCTTTCTTGTGTACCTGCATATGTGTGTGTGTTTTTTTAAACTTTTCCTGTAAAGTGCTGGTACGTTTGTTAAACAGTTCTGTTACGGACCCTTTCACCTTGCCGTTTTTGCTAGGTATTCAGTAACTAAGTCGTTTCTGCAGTAACTAGATTGTTAATGCCTAATGCAACAGCGGGCCAACTACTGAAACTTATGCTCATTCATTTGAGCTATGTATCTACTAAGTGTGTGTGTTGTGGAATACGCTCACATTATGGTTCAGTCAGGTACATTCATGGAATACATGCAAGCTAAAAACTGGGCTTGAATCAGCCATCGCTGCCCACATCAGGGCATCCCTGTTGCAGGATTGTCCCACTCAGAGACCCACCACCTTGGTTCACAAACTCTTCTCCAATTCAAATCCGATGCTTGGAGATTCAAAGCTTGGTTTGTTCCACCAGTCGAATTAAAGGCATCTCAAGGAATCTCAACACTCAAAGAAGATCCTCCAATCATGTTTGCACAGGCTCCCAGTGGGTGAACCCAAGTGCTCCCTCTTTTCGGAACCAGGGTCTTTGGACCCAATCGTTACGTACAGTGGTGGCTGGATCTGCAGGTAGGTTTAAGAACTCATCGAACCCGTCGTTTCATCTTTAACAACTGGAAGCTCGTCCATCATCCCGGAAACCTCGCCCAGTCACGAAACCTCGCCCGCGCCAGGGAAACATACTGCCCTCAGACTCACTTCAGCCCGGCTCCACGACCAGCGCAAGGATTTCACCGGCTGGGCCCTCCGAGCAAAGATGCAAACGAAAAGCACCGGAGTCGCCATCGGAGCCACCTCGTGGAGTCCGTGGAGAGGGGGTGGATCCGGGTGCTCGGTGAGCAAGGTGTTGCTTTCTCCAAAGACAGGGATCCGGGACAAAGGGATTCTGCGACTCTGGCCTCGATAAGGAACGAAGGGAGAGAACAGGACGAGAACATGCAACTGCGAACGAGAGGCTTGCTTCTTTTAGTGCGTCTTCCTGCCAACTGTTGTTCACCCAATCTCCTTCCCCCCTAAATAGATGTCATGTCATCCGTTTTCCTGGGTAGATGATGGTCCCATTCACCTTTGTCGACCAGACCCGCAGGGGTCTTCCTGGGTTTCCAAACCAATGAACCCACGCTATCCCACGCAGACTGAGCACAAACTCAGTGCGGGACGTGGAAGAGCGGCCTAGCCACGCTCTCCGCCCACTTGTCGAAGGTGGCCACCTCCCCCAGCGGCCCCGCGGCCCCCCGCGAGACGGGATACCGAAGGGGGCGAGGATCTAAGAATCTGGGCAACCCTCAGCATCTGGGTTAAACACTATTTCACCCCCGGATAGGAAGGGGATGTTCAATCCAATTGGGGTGGGTGTCTGGTCTTATGGTGGGTTTATGATGTTTATGTCTAAACTCATCTAGACTCACCATTACCCGGCAGGGACCTTGAAGTCTTTTTACATCTGGGACTACATCTGGGACATTCTAGGAGTCTCCCGGAGGAGGTCCTGTCCTACCACTCGCTTTCGTGAGAAGTTCTTGTACATGTCGAACCATCAACATCATCCAACAAACAAGAGGGAGAGGGAACCATCACCATCCCAAGCTCAAGGATCAAAAGCAAATAAAAGCAAAAGATCACACCGGGAGCGTTTCCGGTTTGCTGAATGAAGCTGACTCGCCTCACCCCTCGCAGCTATCAACTCATTGCGTCGCATCCCATCACAGGGGCGTCACGAGTCTCACTTGATCGTCCATGGCGTGGCATGGTTTGCCGAAATGTACAGGTCAAATCCCAGAAGGTGTTAAATCAGAACTCAAAGCTCTGTGAACAGGCCAAAAAAAAGCCACCTAGGAGTGAACAGCTTTGTTACCCTATGAGCCATGGTAGTGGCAACAGGAGAAACTCATGAAGGCTAAATGGAGGGTGTGGAGAAAGGGGTTCAGGATTTTTTTAATACAAAGTTAGTGCATCAAAAATACCTTCCACGAAGTTGCGAAGGTTTCTGTTTCTTGTTGCAGTCAGTTTTCCTACTGGCCCACCATTCCACGGAACGTCCGAATAGCCCCGGATTCCACGAATGTCCCGGGCTCTTTCTGTGCACTACCCTGTGTGCAATAAGGTGCCTTTTTCAGTTTCTGGCAAATCTTGAGGAAAGCAAACGCTTTAGGCAAACCAAATGCGAGTAAAAACACCGCCATCTGCTATTTGGTGCGGAATCAGCCTATCGAAGCATGTCCAATCAATTCCTGATTGAGGGTTGGTGGTCAATGCGTGACTGAGCAAAATCAACACCAGTGGTGTGTGCACTGCGGTCATGTTCTACTCCCCTTTTGCTGTTGCAAAATGACCTCCGAAACACATGAGTATAGTGTGTGAGCGACCAAAACACATGAACGTTGATTAAGCACCTAGTAGCTCCAGTCCTTCATGGTGGAATGTGGTTCCAAACTGTCCTGCCTTTTCTTAGTTGCTGAAGGCGTTGAAAAGTTGAATGTATTTTTGAAGGCAAGATTTAGCTCTCTCTCAGGCATCTTCATCCTATTCGTTCTCATCTGCTTGATTACCCATCTCCTCGTCTTGTTAAAGGCCAAGTTGAGTCTTCAACCTTCTCGGGTCGCTCAATAGTTAATAGTTCTCCACCTCATCTTGCTCTGGTCCCTCTGACGTTCACCGATTTCATGAGCAACCGGCATCCTCTACCCCTGTTCCGGGCATCGAAGAGGGGTACATCACCGGCCCAGCGCCGCCAACCGACGCCCCCCCCCAAACCAACCGCCCCAGCGACTGGGCCCGGCGGGAGTCGTCTCGTTCGGTCGCTCGTTCGGTCGCACCGGCGGTCGCCTGGAGCATGGTGAACATCGAACGGAGCACCGAGCCCACATACATATGGCCTCAGCGCTCTGGCGTCATCAGCAGCGAGTCGGTCAAACATGAGGGAGCCCAGGTGTTGAAAACGGGTTAATCAACCAAGGAGCCAGGTCCGTAGGTGAACAGACTAGGGCAAACAATTCTATTCAGGTTTTGCTTGTTGTTTCAAATTCACGGTTTCTTGATGTGTCTCTATAGGGCAAAGTTTTGGACGTTGACATTCAATTCTTATTTCTGTTTGAAGCATCGCAGGAGTACAGCCTCAGACATCCCCAATTCATACCCAGGGACAACCAATGTCGTCATCCAAGCAACAAAAACACTGTCGTCACGGTAGAATCTCTCTACCGCTCGCCGTGGCCTCCGCTCGCTGCGTTTGAATTACATGGCTACCCTCGACAATCCCAAATTCTGGGTGCAAGAGAACTCACCAAACATGGCAAGTAGCCGCTACGCCACAGTGGCCAATCTCCCCATCTGACACAGATCCCACCCACTTCATGTCCACCTCTGCGTCCGGTGTCCAGCTGCGCTCTCCGTCCGTCCGGCCCGTTTCCGGTGGTGTCCAGCGCCGGTCCCGACGGTCCCTCCGCGATGAACCCATCAGCTCCGAGCGGCCCATGTACCAATGCTCGAAGGCGAAACGATCTTGCCCCCCCTGCAGCGGTGGGAAGGCGACGGAGAAGGCGACGGAGGGAACAAGGAGAACGAAACAGCTTGGGTGATTTCCAGCGTGGGGAGGTTTGGGGTGTTTTTTCATTGGATTGGATGATTGATGATGATTGTACATATTGATTTTAAAGGTTCGAACAAATATATGGAAGAGTGTCGTATTTCTGATTCAGATTATTCAATTTTGAGGATGACTTCGCAAATCAATAGCATGATATGTCTGAAAACGAGGAAAACACAAACCGACGGGTTGCAGCCAAGGTTCTCCTTTACCAACTGATTGTGGGAATCTGAACAAACATTTATAGATCATTTAGTTGAACCCGTGTTTCGAAACAACATGAACTGGTCCCTACGTCTGGGATTGTTTCCTATCAATTGTTGTTGTACCTGCATGCAAATTGTTTATCATGCGCATCACCAAACACGAGATAACAACAAACATGAACCTTTACATGTTTTTGCGCCTGGTCCCGGAGACCCCGCCCCTTGGGGCGGGGATGGTTGAGCCCCCATGCCGCAGCCAAGTCGCAAGGACGCACACGGCCGCGCCGAAGCAAAACAGGAAGATCGCCATCTCAGCGAGTGGGTCCGCTGGCGTCGCGGTAGCGGCGTCTTTCACGTCCAATGTTCGACATGGAACAGCTTGAAAACCGTTTTTCCCGAGAAACCCAGGTGATGAGGCTAATGGTCATTGCTATTCGGTGCCATATTTGGGGTCCGGATCCGCTGGCTGATTCTTTCGTGAATGGGCAGCCCGTGGCATACATACACAATAAGAAATGGGCCCCAGTTCCATTCCGTGCTCAAACGAAGCTGATGTGGACTTCAGCTAAATTCAATCCTCGCACGAAGTGAACTTTGGTACTGTCACTAGGGGCGGGTCTTGCAGGGCGCGTGAGACTGTTGAGGAAACAGTGCCCAAAACATCAATGTCCGCCGAATTTTCCCGCAGTTCCAAACTGCAAACATTGCAGATTGGATTTGTTTTCGGGGGTATCTTGTCAACTTGTTCATGACCTTGAACGGTTTTTCCTCACATGCTAATTCGTGTGTGGTTGATCCCTACCCTTTGCTCAAGGGGATCAAAAATTGTATGTTACATTTTCTTGTTACATGCCACAAATTATATTTTCAGGCTCCAAATACAACTTGTCCAGCAGGGCTGCATCTTCTGGTAGATCTCCTCCACTAACCTCCCGCACACAGCCCCACCTTCTCAAGCTTGTATAGATCTTGCTTTGAGAACGAGGTGACGAGCAAGGATGACTTGGGCATGTTTTGCCTCAGAATCTGCAGTGCACGCGCTCGAGCGACCATGCGGGATGTGCAATTCTTCGCTGCCTGGTCGGCTTTCTCCAACATGTTCTTCACAAACTCGAAGAAATCCATGCGATCAAGGTCACTCTGGAACCTGATCGGACCATCTGCTAGTCCTACTTGGGCGTACTCACCGATCCTGGCTGAAGGACCAGCACTCTTCCGAGGAAAGATGGTGATAAATCACTGGCAGTAGAGCTTCTTGTCGGCCCCATTGAGTCGAGCCTCTCGAAGAAGAATCTCCTTGGATCGTCATCTTGAAGACACATAGAAGGAAGAGAGCTGATCTCGTCTTTATTGCCTGTCAAGAAGTATCTATTCCACCAAAAACCTTCCGGTTCCATGCCCAGGGACATGAGAACAAGATCCAGGGATGCCAGGTCTGCGGGCGTGGGCTTCAGAACTCCTGCCACGCCTTGTCCAACATGATTCTCCAGTTGACAATCTGGGCCCAAGCTAGTCAGGTGATCAACATCACGAGCTTTTTCACGGATAGGTCGGCCAGGGTGACTCTGCTCAACAACAAGTGGTCGCTTCAAATTTGTCCCTGGACTACCACTCAATGCCCAATAGTTCTTCATACTTTGTAGCACACCCGGATGTGAGCCCATTGCCACTGAGAAAGCCAAAAAGAGACCGGATCTTTTTGGAGATATTGAGACACTCGGCTTGTAATTTAGGTTGAGCCTCCGTGGGAGTTCAGGATCGTTCACTGTGTCCTTCAACCAAACTCCAAAGACTCCTTTGTACTTGGCTTCAGCACCCTGAGCTTCTGCCAAGAATATTCCTGACTGAAGAAGATCTTGAAGCATTGGTGTCAATTGCTGGTTCAATGAATCTATCTTGGGACTGGGTGGCTCCATGGACAATTCAGGTGGCATCTCAGGGCTGAAGGGAAACGTCATGTGAAGTCGACTCTGGATCGATCTGACAATAGATCCAAAATCTTTCAGAAGCATGGCGTAATGCAACCTGTTCTTTTTGTCCTTCTTCTTCGCCATGTTCTCCATATAGGAATCCTCAGACTTGTGAGCACCATCCGGGCTCGTTCTCCTTCATCACTGAATTCGAACCCCTTTTCCACCAGATCAACCATCTCCTCTCTACTGATCTTCAAGTCACCATAAGCTGCTTCGAGCTCAGCTGGGGTTGCTTCTGCTTCAGTGAGTGTCTGTGTCCGGAATGAACGGAAGCCACTTAAAGAGAGGGTAGTTCCTCACACTCGCCGAGAGTACGGATCCAAGAGGTTGTATAATCATAAGCTATCAGGCTCCTCCTCCTCGTAGTAAGAGAGATCCTCTTCAAGAGTACTCTCATGTCCCCTTTTTGATCCTTCGGGCCTGCTCTCCAATACGCTGCTCTGGCCGACACTCCGCACTCGTGGTGAATCACGTCCTGCCTGTAAGGGCTCCATGGGTCCTTGTGCTCGTGGCGTGTTGGAGGTTTCCTCTTGCTTTGCTTTCCTCTCAGCAACACCAACTTCCGTGAATGCCATAGCCAAATCGCTAATACTCCTTTTCTTTGCACTTGATGATGCGAGTGACTGATGCTTGGATGTTCTCTCAAACAAGGAAGGAGAGAGCTGCGTCATTTGTCCTGACGCCAGGCCGGTTGATTCTTGGCCTTCTGTCACCGTTTGATATGTGGTCTCCTCTTCTAGCTCCACCTCCTTACTGCTTCCGAAGCCCAATTAAAATAGTTCGTAGGCTGCTTCATTACTCCAGCTCTGCTCTGATGTACTTTTGCTTCATGATCTGCAACAGGAGCTGGAACCAAACTCTTGAGAGGCGGCGGATTGTGCAGCAACTCATCCACATTCATCTTTGCCGGGATCTTGGTGTCCTCCTCCTTGGTCATGAATTGTCTCAAGGACGATTGTGGATGTCCTCCATGAATTCCAGGCTCGTACGTCACTCCATGAGCTACCTTCCCTTGCTTGAAAGCCTGAATTGTTTCGGCCTTCCTTTCTCTCATTTCCTGGAACAGCCTGGTGTGTATTGGAATCTCTGCTGACCTTGATTCCGGTGGTAGATCCGACTCCGGGATCACACTCACGATGGGATCTTCGCTCGTAACTCTCTTGATCTGCTCCAAAACGCTCTTCAGAGCTATCTCGGCCTTGACCTCTTCAGTGGTATAGGTAAGGACTGTGGGGTCTCCCAGCGAAGTCATATGCACCAGTTCCTTTTGTTCCGATGATAGCTCCTTTTGCACGGGCTGGAAAAGTGATGCTCGCGTGAGCCCTTGGCTCTTGCTTCTGAATTCCTCTTGGACCTGAGGAGCCAGGACTCATGGCAAAGCAGCTCGATGGAAGGGCGCTCTCAGAGCTGGGACTGGGTCCCTTCCGCGCACCAGCCAATACCCACAGCAAAGCTTTTGTTTCCGGGGAGCCCGGAATACTGCTGTTCATAGATGGGAAGCAGTGATTCCCCTGGAGTCCCAAAATGGATGGTATCTGGCTCTCAGTCTCAATTGATATACTCTCTGTGATCTCTCTCATTGCCTTGTTCAGCTTGTCGAAAATGCTTTGGCTCCGGAAGTATCGCGCTCCAGCTTTCCTGTCCTTCAGATGACTCAGATGGATTGACATGGAACACATGTGTCTTCATGAACAGCTCCGCAATGAGTCCCTGGTTGCCCGGTGGGGCCAGCGAAGTAGCCAATGTCCTCATTTGTGATAAGGTTTTCACATAAAGGTCCCCTTTGGCAACGTGTATGCGCTGCCCTTCCAGGAGTCCCAAAACCTCTTTCAGCTGTGAGTTAGACTCACATGCTGTCAAGTCGACTGTCAAACGTCCGTTGCAAACCATCGTCATTGTCTTGATCCGAATTGGGCTGCAAGGAAGATTACACAGATGCTTTCATAAATTAGCAAATGCTTCAATATGCCTTATTTTACTCTTAAAAGAACTGACCACCTCACTTATCATCAACTGTTGAATCTGAGAAGCGCACTAGTACGTAGATGGTCGGAGTCTTGGAAGAGCTCTCATAGACAACGGAGGGGGACACACTCTGACATTGGTTTGCTGTTAACTCAATTCCCACGTCGAGAAGAAAGGTGAGGTAACGGAAAGGTGCATGAGTCCGCAAAACTGTATTGTTGAACATCATGTTGAAAGGCACTCGCAAGCGGTCAGCGCGCGGCAGCTGAAAGCGGCTGAGGGAAAAGTTTTGGGGTCTGTCGTGAGAACCACCATGAAACACAGCGAGGAAGAGTGGAGTGACAGCTTGAAAAACAGTTCAGCAGGTACACGGAGGTGATCAATCTCCGCATCCCCCATCGTGGAACAGCTTCGTTGGCACAGGTATCCACGATGGGCCTGTGCCCCCTGCTTGGAAACATCGGAACCCTTAGGTACAGGGGTTGACACACACACGGTGCCGCTTTGCGGCGCTCGTGCGAACGACCTGAATAGGCACCTAAAAATCCTTAGAAACAAAAGAAAGAAACACAGAAAGAGCAGCGCTAAGAGGGCAAGAGAAAGATAGGTGTAGAAAAAAGGTGAATACTTAGCCCTTGACTGGGGCAGGGAAACGAGCCTCAAGAACAACCTAAAAAGCCTGAGAGAAAGCCCAAGAAACGACCGAAAGCGTAAGAAAGAAAGGGGGGGGAGGGAGGGGG